GGGGCAGTCTGAGAAAATGGCATCTGACATGGAAGTGTATATGATGCAAAGACGTGTCATTGAATTCCTCTATGTGGAAAAACTCACATCCACTGACATTCATCAGTTCTAACTCAACATTTTTAGAGACCAAACAGTGGAATGTTTCAGCAATGTGAAAAACAAGCCGTGTATCAGGCAGCCATGCAGATTTTTACGTGCAAGATATGAAGGCTCTTGCTCCTCGCAGATAAAAATGCACAGGTAATGATGTTGATTCTGTTGAAAAAGATCATTGTGTAGCTGAGAATTTGCTCTATCAAATAGTTTTATTGTGCTCTTTACATCTACTGTAGATCCCATGGAAATAAAGAAGAGATATTACTTTCAGAGTGACCTACATATATTAACATCCTCTCCTAATTATTATACTTTAGCTGTGTTTTACATGTTATTTGTTAATATTTTCAGAAAAGTTGCTTCCTGATATAAACTGATCAGCTGTACTAATAAAATTTATTTGTTTATTTATTTCACAGAATCCATGCACTACATCATGGTGCTTAACATCACTTTCACTAGCCTGATGTTGGCAACTTCACACCTAGGAAACTGCGGTCATGGTCTCTCCAAGCCATCTATGCAGGACATTATAAGGCATTTCATGCTTTGTGACTATAGATTCATCCTAAGAGTCTTCCAGTGTCTTGCCCGAACTCTGAAAAAACATATCTAACATCAATTTACCACATAAAATCAGTAATTTGACTTAGGAATTAAGCAGCTTCAAGCCAACATTACTATCAGTCTCAACAGCAGAACAAAACAATTTTTCCCCTTTTTGTACATGCTCTAAAGTTTTACATTCCTGAGGCCATAATGGGTTTGCTGGAATGACAAATGATGAATTGAAACGCCCAATTTTCAGTTTTCCATTTTTTAAAAGTAATACTTTATTGCATGTTTTCTACCTTTAGATATTCACACGTCTTCCACACCTTCACTGACTTGTGAGTTTAATTTATTGATACTAACAAATCATGCAGACTTTGTTGATATTTCATTCAGATTATGAAGAAATTCAGGAACTTGTGTTGATTCTGCCATAGAATGGCTCCGCATTAGTCACTGTCTATTTTGACTTACTGCAATTTACTTTCACTTTTCTCACATTTCTTATTTTTAATTTGTGACAGAATTATTCTTTATGTGTTACCCATCGCTTTCAAATTTTAATGGGATTTATATCCCAAAATAAGACAACTATATTATATAATATTTTAACTAATTATAATTAGTTAAATTATTATACCTATATTATAAGAAATATTTCTTTTCTTATTTCCTCATTTCATTTTTTAATCCTTTTGGCTCCCCTGCACTTATTAAATGTTAAGAATTTAGCTACTTTGAAATGAAAAATCTTTAATCTTCTCTGGCCTTACTTTCAGTTTCTTTCTTGGCCTCTTTTCTTTATTCATGCCCCAACTAGATTTCAGCTGTAGAATATTGTTTCCTGTCCATCTTTATTTGTCTAAGCCCAATCTAATATCCTCTGTTTCAGTGTGCCAGTGTACTAAGGCATTAGGAAAAATGCAGAAGAAAGTATCATAATTTCTTAGTTATAACTTCTGTATCTTTGTAAAGTAAAAAAATGTATATATATAACAAGACTTCTTTCTCTCAAAGGCATAAAGCACACACTGACCAGAAACTAGAAGTTCAGAAGCAAATTTACTTCAGGGAGGGCTATGCCATATTTTGTTACCTGAGAACCTAGCAATATTAAAAAGGTTACAGTTAAGACATGGCATCAACCAAGAAGAAACTGAACTGGCTTGATATTTCTCACTCTCTGTTGACAAAGAGTATGACAAATTAATAAAAAGAGCATAATTTATAGAACTGGCATAAAATAGAAACAAGAATGTGCTGTTTCTGAATTAAGTGTATGTACCATGTTCTCTAGGCCTTTATAATGATGTCGTACGAAGGGACATAGTTTACTGGGGAAATACTGCTGGAAGGTGGATGGTTGGACTGGATGACCTTGGAGGTCTTTTCCAACGTTGGTATTTAATGATTCTGTGATTCTATAATAATTTTCACCACAAATTCTATAATAATTTTAACACAAAGGTGACATATGACTTTCATCTGCATACTCCTCTGAGGGATATCAATCAATTCTAGCCACAATCGTAGTACTGTTGTTGGGATATCAGGGAAGGTTTTCAGCAAGAGAGAGAACAGTAGCTACAAATCATTTCTACCCTTACTCATTTATTTATTTATTTATTTTAAATTCCAGTGTTGTGCTTTTCTTTTTACACTAGTTCAATGACTCAAATAGTCATTACTGTGATTTGCCTTTCAAACTGTCAATTTACTAGCTTGTAGTTCAGTTGCTCCTCATAACCATATAGGTCATTCAGTGATAGTGTTGAATATTTTCTTCTGGAAACTCCGAATAGTACTCACAATTGTGATGAATGTCACTTCTCTTAATCTCTAAACTGGTGAGCTAAATTCAGTTTTAAACCTCGCTATTCCAGAACTATTTCATAGAACAAACAACTAATGGTAGAAACTCTATTATCTACCACAGAGTAAGCCATTCCCACTTGCAGACAAAATGTCTCTATCATTATCTTGCATCAGGCGAGGTTCAGGTTGGATTTTAGGAAAAACTGTTTCTCTGAAAGCCTGGTCAGTCACTGGAACAGGCTGCCTGGGGAGGTGGTGGAGTCACTGCCCCCCTCCCTGGAGGTGTTCAAGTAATGTGTAAATGTTGTACTACGGAACATAGTATAGCTATACCACCATATTGGTGGTAGGAGGACAGTTGGACTAGATGATCTCAGAGGTCTTTTCCAACCTTAATGATTCTATGATTCTATGAATATGCCATAGTACAGTGCCTGAGTTAAGTATTTATGCAATGGTATGTGAATATAGTTTCTATAAACAAGTGAATGACTGAGGATATTACATGTATAAAACCTGAGCTACTGCAAAGAACTGATTTGGGGAGAGATAAAATAAAATAAAATCATAATCAGCACTTTAGAAACCATGTGTCACATTGATTGCTATAGCATATTAATATCTGCTCCATTTGATATCTCAGATTTTAAATATCTAAACAGTTAAACATTAACAGCACTAGTTACATCTGACCTCACCTTGGCAAACATAAGCTATAAAGAAGCTTTTTCAAAAACCGTTTACAGTTTTACTTCATTTCAAGAGGCTGTTTTTATCTATTATGTCATTTTTTGTATTCTTCTGGTCTGTTTCAAGCATATTTTGAAAAGTTACTTGTGACCAAGCTGAGTAATGAAGGCTATTAAGACATTCTCCTCCGTGTTTCAAATGCAGCATTGGAAGAGGCACATAACATAGTTTCAGAAATGCTTTTTTTATGGAACTTTTCTTTTTTTTCTTTAAATTAGAAGCTCACAATAAACTGAAAACATATTGTTCCTGAGAGACAAACATTTCACCACTGCTCTTAAGCTCGTAATTCACATCAACAAAGACAGACTGTATATTTTGTTTGTTTGAAATACTTTATAGAGGAGGTGGGAATATAAAAACATTCTAAGTGTCCTGATGTGTCTCTTGCACACTGAATAATCTAACTGATCTCTGATAAATAATCCCAACATTTTTATCTCTTATATTTTTGTTCAGAGTAGACCATGTAAACAGTGTGCATCTTTTGTTCAGTGTTTGAGGTACTCAGAATACAGACATAACATTGCATGTTCAGAACTGATTGGAAACTATGAATTTAAAGATTATAGATGTCCATTCTTAGATCCTCTAGTGGGATCTGGTTTCCAGAGGACAAATGACCTTAATCTGGTCTAAAACTGAGCATACCAGAACGAATGTACACAGGACATGAAAAGGGAAGGGTGAAACTTCAGTTTCAGTATATGATTCATGTCCCTGATTTCACATTCCATTGCTAAGTCTTACCATGCTCATGTCACGCTCACGGAATGGAAGTCTCACTTATAAAAGGATTTTCTTTATTTTTCATAATTTAACTGAACCAACACAAAACTGAATACTGTAAAGCAACAAAATGATGTAACATCTTTAATTGTACTGTGTTAACTAAATAAGGCTACTACACTCCCTTTTAAATAAATCAAAACAGAGAGTTGGTAGAGTGAGGGATCTGGCTCTTGAGGTCTACATATACAGTAAATGTATTTACCATCACTTATTGCATGACATTTTAAACCTGACATTTGTCATTTATAGTGCAGTCAGTCCATAACACTTTTCAAGTGGCTGGGCTTTAATTGCTACCTTGACACTGGTCAAAATCCTACGATTAAATAATAATTTTGTATATATTTATTTTATTTGAAGACAAAATCATCTATCTTTCATCTTTCCTTCAACTTCTGCATTAAATAAGCAGAGACCTATACTGGAACAGGCCTTCAAAAAAGTTCTTTAATTGACTTTTCATTTTTGAACCTTTCATCTATGGTCACTTGAACAATCTCTATATATTTTTCTTTAGTAGCATAGAACTAGCATAACATTAAAAGTTAATTGGAGTATTAGGTAGTATACTTGAAACCATAATACATTTGCCAGGAAGAAATTAAGCTCCCTTCTTGATTGTATCATACTATCACGAACCAAACTTACACATAAAAAGGGAATAAGTTTTTTTTTGTTGTTGCTTCTCTGTTTTTTCACATTTCCCCCCTCTTCTTTGCTGTCTTGGTTAAACTTTTGCTAACCAATAATACTAAAATAGTGGGCTTTCTAATAATGAGGTAAACACTGAAAGGAATAGGCTGCAAACAGACCCTTAGACTGTATTACATAAAAGTAGGGGGAAAGAAAGAGAAGAACAGAGAGAGAGAGCGAGAAAGAAAAAAAAAACAAAACTTGCTATGAAGAGCAATGAGTAAAATATTTTGCACTCTATTTTTATCAGTACATAAAGACAAAAAAAATTAAAAAAAAATTAAAAAAAAAGCCTTCTAACAGTGCAATGGTTGAATGCATTTATGTAATATAAACAACATTATTCTTTGCTTTTTCTACACAGTCCTCTCTCGTCATGCTTTACATCCAGAATGTCCCAATGGAAGAAAGCAAACGACACCAGTCACTTCAGAGACAACTGAAGTAATAAAACACAACTTAACTCTGAACCACTTGTCATGACTGTCAGAGTCATCACGTTAATTGTTAAATAGGATTTTCTACAAATATACAACATATAAAAACTGTTAAATATATAACTTTAGGCTTTTCAAAATACATTTAATGATCTCTTTCAAACAAGTGTTACTTTTGTTTTCTCTTTAATTTGCTTTCTGGTGCTAAATGGTGTATCAGATGAGACATAGGCCACAGATGACCAAACATGCTCTTTGCAAATACTGTATTATCCAACTTTAACTATCAAAAATGGAACTGTAGAAGAGGCATGTTTAACTGGTTAAAACTGAAAATGATTTTAGTACGAGAAAGTCAATCTAAGTACAGAGGAATAAAGGTGCCTTGTAGACAGTTTATGTTCTTTTTGTCCCAAGTTTTTCAAACATAGGTCATTTCCTTTCAGTGCTCCATTACGTTCTCTCAAATGTGTCATTTCAAGAGCTGGTCTCTGGGTTAGTTTTTACTGCAGCTTTCCATAAAGACTTCTGCTGGACAACATCTCAGCTTTGTGAAAGCTGGAATCATGTATTTGTGGAGACCCCCTACAATTTAACAACATAACTCTGTTAACAGTAAGATTGTGTCCACTTTAAAATAGATTTTGCTCTTTGGTCTATTGTATATATTGAAAGTATAAGAAAATAAAAGCAATTCAGACAGTTTAGGGCACAAGAAGAGTTTCTCTTTTGCACCTCAGTGTCCTCCCATAGGCAAAACAGTCTTCTCTAAGGCTGATTGGGATGATACTCTTCATTGTAGCAGACTCTTCAGATTAAAACATGTAGGTAACAGCAAGTCCAGCAGTGGTGTATAACGCAGATGAAACATTAACCATGAACTTTTTTGTATTGCTAATGCCCAAGCATATCTCTTTTTTCTATATTCCTTAGTCCAGCGATCCTTAGTATGGTAGAACAAACTTTAGCTCATAATGTAGAGAAATTATGCTGTCTTTCATGAGATACAGATAAACAGACAGTTGAGTTGATGACATATAATGGATGATGGTCCACAGCAGTGAAACTTGACTAAGTTAAGTAGCTCACACAGAGCCTAAACCACTCCTACGAGGATTCTGTGTTGCTGTATTTGTCAGGAGACCTGTAAATCAATAAGAACAAATGAGTCAATGTCTTCATTTAAAATTTTGATTATCTTTGCTGTCCATTATTTTAAAATGTTCTGTTCTAAGTTTCTTCAAGGAGACAGTTAATTAATTAGAAGATATTTATTTTTTACAGCAAACATTTTCCCTGAGAAACAGCATATAATAAACCTTTGTTTACATTTATTATTAAAAAATCACGACTATTATAGTTATATCTAATAAATTCGTGAATGTAAATAATAATTTACAACAATTTCAATGCCTTCTACTTTCTAGCAAGCTCCATGCACTTTCTTTTTCATAAAAATAATACCCAGAATGTTCTTTTACCTGCATTGAATTATATGTACCAATATCTAATACACATGGATATAAAGATGACCATTAATTTACACATGTAGAATACGATGGAAAATGAGTATGACAGTCATTTATTAACAGTGCAAGTATATTTATACTTGAGGCTTTTCTGCCTTCGAGTTTTCACTGAGCGCTAGAGTGCGCCTGTTGTTCTGTATGCTAATTTAATCAATACTGCCCTCTAGTGATGCTTTTAAAAGTGCAAATCAAATTTAAATAATGCTTATTAAAAGCTGATATAATCTGAAAATTGCTTTAGTTACACAGCAGAAGAAAAAAAAAAAAGAGAAAGGAAGAAATAAAGAAGAAAGAGAAAATTGGCAGAGGACTGCTAATTTAAAAGAAAAAAAGGAAAGGAAGCTGTTGAAAAAGAAGTGTTGGTTTGAAAGACAAACAACCAAAGCTTCCTCTATAGAGGAAATAAAAGTACTGAACAACAACACAAACACAGATGAGAAGGTAATGATTGATTTGTACAACAAGATGCCAGCTAATAATGCTCACCCGAACTATCAGTTTGGAAATGATTTCAAAATCACACAGACACTGTATGACACAAAACATTTTGAGGTGTATTAAGCAAGAATGGTTGTTACAAAATGCAGTTTGAATGTTCAAACACTACCTTCTGCTACAGCATCATTCTGTCTCCAAAGAGGTAGAATTGTCTTTACTGATGGAAATTCCATGCATAACTCCAGAAAATACTGAACAGTGAATGTGAACAAGCAAAACAAATACGAAAATCCAATTCACTTAGTTCAAGCTGTTACATCAAATTTAGAATTTTTAACCTTATTCTCAGATAAAAGAAATACCTGCCTCCAATTTAGTGACAGCTTGAAACATAGGGATCTCTCTCTATATGTATCTACAAAGATAGATAGATAGGTAAACAAATAAATAAATGGATATTTTCCTTATAAGGCATTAAGTTTATGTCATAGATTTCTGCTTTTGTCCTCTCACCTTTTCCAGGAAAAAACACCCCAGAAATCTTGCACACAGCCTTTCGTTTTCGGACTAGTGATCAGATCTCCAAACCACATGGCCTCAGACAGGCTGAAGGCAAAAAACCTGGATGATTATTGTGGTATATTCCCCTTTTTAAATATACAATCAGCAAAATAAATAATTTTAAAGTTTTCTTTCTATTAGTTCTGTTTCCCCATTACGCTATTCCATGGGGTTTTCACAGTATCCCAGATTTTTCCTCCTATTAGAAAAGAACACATCTTTAAAGGTAGTTTTACTTTTTAAGCAGCAAGACAGAAAGCAAAAGATTTATGCTTTATTATGTCTGAAAGTAAACTACTACTGCGTGAAGAACTAGGCTGACTTAGCTTCATCATTTCTGAATTAGGTTGGAATGGCCCAACAGCTATAAGCAACAGCGTGAACTGCTGATGGACTGTGTTCAGTGTTTTCATAGTGTGCTTCTTTACCATACTGGTCCCAGGATAGAGAGAATTCATTCAGACACATTTATTTGCAGTTACCTGCTGCTCTGTCAGCTCATGGATGACAAAGCAGCTTCCTACCACTCCTGCTATCCCTATCCCCACTTTGCACTTCCTTGCTGTGAGAATATGGTATCAACACCTTAAAAGAAAGAGAGAAGAAGAGAAAGAATTACGTATTTAAGAAACACTGAGGCAGGGCAGGAAGCAGAACTGAAATAAAATGACTACAAGAAGGGGAACAGATTAGAGAACAGGAAGTGAATTTACAACTTTGGACAATGGGAAAAGATGGAAGAAAAGAGGGAAAGAGAAAGGTGTATATTAGCAAGGGAATTTTAAACATAATTTATTAATGAAAGCATCACAAAGAAGAAAGACAGCTAATAGGAACAACAGATAAAAGGAAGAGAGTAGGTAGAAGAGAGCATTAAGAGACCACAGAAGAGAGATGGAATGTACAACTACCCTCCCATCTCCTGTTTTTTTCCCTTTGATTTCTCATGACAGCTGTGTTAACCACTTCCCAGAAAAACAGACAGGTCAGGCAAGATGGAAAAGGGATCCCAAAATGACTTTAAAAAGGACTTATTTGCTATTTATACTAACAATTCAAACCATGAGAAATATCACATTTCTGAAATGCAAATCTAAAGAAAAACTGTGCTCTCAATGACTATTTGTTAATAATTTCTATAATATTGATTGGACTAATACAGATTGCAGTGCAAATTATAAATTAAATAACAATATACACAGAAACATTGAAAGCTTTGGCACGATGTGTCAGCATAGTTTCTTCTTTTTTTTTTTTTTTTTTTCCTTCTGCTTAGGGAACTTGCAGCAACAGCAAATTAAAGAGAGCAACAGGATCAATTACCAAGTGCAAAGTTTTGTTTTTGTCCACCTCTATTAACTGAATCATGTTAGTTTCAGGCATCTTTGTACAATTCTCCTTGTTGCTGACTTCAGTGAAATTAGAAATTCTCCCCAGAGCTTCAGACAGTAGGTTCTGCCTCTTTCTGAAAGAGCCAGAGGTTCTGATGCCACCCACTGCACTGCAGTGGGGGCGAACCTTCCTTTGTGTCACTTTTTCTGCACAATGATCTTTGTTTCATTTTGTTTTGTTTTTCCTGAGTCGTTGCTGAGATCACCCTTGCTTCATGGTGCACTGGACAAACTGGCACTCAACATGCATGAACCAAGAACTAGATTGCTAACATAACTCATCTCACATTCAACCCTCAAAATCTACCATGTGCTTTCTCAATAGAAATCTTTTTTCTCTCAGCTGGTAACTGCAAGGGAAAATGGGAAAGTTGCCCCTCCCATGTATTTCATCCTCTTCCTTCCACATACCCAAGAATTCAAAAGCAAGGGTTAAAAACTCCTTGCAGAAAAGCTACTGAAGTGCTTTCTCTCGACACAGAGGCTGAAGAGGTGTGCAGTGGCTTCTGGGCACTGATCCATCAAGGCACTGCAGTAAATGGCAAATGATGAGTGACTAAATGCATTTGTCAAGGGTATTCCACCATCACGGTAAGATTCCCAATGTGAACACTAAACTCTGAAATACCACACAGCTCCAACAATGTTATGCCATTTTTGGCATTATGTCTTTGTATAGTGCAGAATCTGGAATCAAATTTTGAATTAAAGCATTTGAATTTCTGATCACAAACCAGAAAACTTAGCCACACTTACTGTAGCTGTCAAATATTTTCCGTCAGGACTGAGTTTCAAGAATGTGTGGCCTGACCTTTTGCTTTAAATGGAATTCACATAAATACCAACAATTCATTGTCAAGCCTGGTTAAACTCTAGTAATTTCTTCTGATTTCCACTCTGTATTTTTAGAGTAACAATGAAAGACAGAGCAAACCAAAGTTATTATTTTTGGTACAGTAGCCAAGTGCTATTACATGACTGTCTGTTGAAGTTACCTTTGCAAACTAGGATGACAATTTGAACAATCTAACATGTTTCCAGCACTGATTTCTGGAAATTCTGGATCCCTACAATATAATTGATCATTTTAGACATTTTAGTGCTGTCTAACAGCTGAACTACTTAGCTGAACTGTGTATTTTGCTCTTTTGACTACACTGGAATGTCTCTGTGAGTCTTAAGATGCCATAGAGCCCCCCCTAGTGTAAATGGTTGGGTGTTTTTTGTTTTGGTTTGGTATGGTTTGATTTTTGCTTGTATTTTTATATGAATTAAAAAAAAAAAAGCAAAGTCATTCACAAAGATGGATGTAGGCTTGCTCAGCCTGTCTCACTAATCTACTCATAGTGGAAAACAGTTCCAAAGCTTTTACCAACTGACTATAAGCCAATAAACAGCATGTCTGTCCCTTCCCTTCTGCTTCCACAGCTATCTGTTCTAGGTCCCTGAATAACTAACCATGTATAATGCAGAAAAATATATTAAAAAAGCATCAAAATGCCCAAGGAAATCTTATCCTGCTTTGGAGGATACCTCATGCTTCACAGGTATAAAAATGTAAATTTCTGGCAATGATCCTAGCAGTAGCAATGACCTGTTGAATTTGCTGAGAATTCCCATAGCCCCTCTAAAAAGATTATTCAATTTTTCTTCTATCCCCCTACTTTCTCCATGCTGCTCATACATTCAAACTGAATGATTTAGCCTTCAGGAAAAGACAAGTTAATCTAACTTGAAAGAGACTGTGATTATTAGAAATAAGGGAAAGATGCATGGAGCTACTTTACTTAGTAATACTTCCTTCTTTGACACTGAACTAGCCATGGAAAGGACATCTTCAAGAGGTAAAACTATAATGTCCACAGAACTAATAATAAGATTCATCAGATCTAGTGGCTGCTTGTGGATATATGCTTATAAAAAGTAGAGTAGCGTACCACAATGTATTCATGCTGTGTAATTGCACTCCAACAAAGTAGCATTCATGAATTACAGTGAACAAAATGCAACTATTAGGCATCTTTTAGAAGAACATGCATTTTCTTTGTGAGCCATTATTTGTTGATGGCTTGGTTGTTGATGTTGTTGTTGTTTTTCCTTTCTACTATTCAAATCAGATGTAGGAAGAAAGGAGTATTTATTATTTGCAAATAAGATTATTTTTTTTTTCCAGTAACAATTATTTAGTATCAATTATTTAGTATCAATATTTTGTCCAGATCTAA